TTATCATCGCTAGATATAGCACTGTCTGCTTCGCTTAAACTTTCTAATGATGACAATAATTCTTTTTTTATTTCCAGACATTCTTTGGATTTTCGCTTTCTCTCCTCTTCTTTGGTACAACGTTAAACTTCCTTTTGCATTCTTGATTCCTTACTTTCATTTTTTTTCAGACAAAATTTTATCTACACCTCCTATGGCATATTTTTTTTCTGAACATCGGTCTGCAAGAAATATTTGGTCTTCTATTTTTATCAGCATCGCCGTGAGCAATATCAAAAAGACAATTTACTGAGTTCAAAAAATCTTCTTTTACTGCTGTGCTGACCCACCACGACTCTTGTTCTTTGAAATATTTCTGTATCTTTCCAATAATACTTCAGTTTTACGAATAATACTTCTATGTTCAGCAGTTGGAATTCTAGCTTAAGCCCAGATCTCACAAAACTGCTGGATTACAGTTTTTATGGCATCTTTTAGAGTTTGACTGTTCTTTTTGATGGAAAAAATATATTCTTAAAACTTCATAACTTGTGGGCAAATCTCTGCCACTAAAATGTGGTTTAGGTTCCTCAATCAAATAAATGCAAGTTTTTGATCTTGTTTCAGCCATTATTGCTGTCTGCCAACCATCACTTGGTTTACATTAGTTCAATAATCTAATCTTTGGTAACTATAAGTACATAAAAAATGTTTTGCATTATTTTATTTATTTTAAATTTGTTTTAACATGGTTGTCTGCAGTCAAGATTCCACCACTTTGTTTGTTTTGTTTTTACTTGTGATCTATGATCTTTGATAACTAATAAGTAAATAAATACTAATTACAAATTCTTTGCAGGTAATAATAGTAATTACTAATTAGCTATTGGAAATAGGTACAAAAGTAAATATTTAAAACTTTTTCTTTAGTTTTATTTGAAAATAAAATGATTTTTCAAACAAATTAAAATATTGAAGTTCAACACATAATTATTATTAATAAAAATAACCATAAAAATAATATGGTTTTATAATGAGATCATTTATCATAACTAAAAATAACACAAAATTTTTTTATTGAATAATAACTTTTGAGTTTTGTGATAAAAACATAGTTTAAGGTTTTTGAAAAACTAAAAATATAAAGACCAGAAGCATTGACTTAATTTGTCCTTTGTAAATCATTTTACTAGGTAGACCTACACAGTAAAACGGTCTGATTTACAATGTTAACTTATAAAAATATAACTTATAAACAATGAAAATCTACTTTTGAGTTTTCTGGTTGAACTTTTTTTGTGTTAATTAGTGGATCTGTAACAACTAAGCAATCCCACCATTCCATTTTATTTATCTAAAAATAAAAAATGCAAATAATGAAAGTCAACTCTAAAGTCTTCTCCATGTACAGTATTAAAGTATTTAAAAAAATACTTTTTCCAAAAATATATGTATAAGCTTTTTATCTTCAAGTGTCCAATAACAATCTTCAATTTTAATCTAAATAAAGGAATTAAAAATAATTCAACAAAAATTCCTATTTTAAAGTTGACTTTAATATAGCTGCACATTTATTATTACCTTTTTACATAACTCTGCATCAATAATTGGAGGATGTCCTTTTAAAGACACTTTTAAATGCTAAAAAGAAAACACTTTTTGAGAAAAGATTTTGATTGATAAAGTACAAAAGTATTTTATCACCCAGTTGAACTAAAAATAACAGTAGTCAGAAGAGGTTCACCTTTCCATCTATGCAAGTAATAAAATTAATTATTAAATTAAAAATAACATTAGATATATATCTATAAAAAACATAAAATTAAGTATATCTTTGGTAAATCTGGAATATTAGAATATTAGATAAGATAAGAATATAAAGTTAGAATATTTTGGTAAAGTAAGAATAATAGGTGAAGTTAGAATTTTAAGTAGAAAAATTAGATAATAGAATTATGAATTCTTGCAGAAGTTTTAGGAAACAGAAATACAAATAAAACAATTAAATCATCTAATATATTGGTAATACAAATTTTTTTTGTAATCTTTTAAATTATTTATTTTTAATAAAACTGTTGCAGGTAAGAAAATGCATGAAAATAGCAGTAATTGTATTATATCTAAAGTTAATTAAAAAGGCTTTTGCAAATTTAATAGAAAAATTATTTGTTTAATTTAATATATCCTTTATTTATTTGTGTATGTTCAATGATAAAAGTTTTTTCTAAACTGTATAAAGTGAATCCGGGATGCCATGATCCACATTGAACGGTTAGAAACGTTAGAACGCAACATTATTTTGAAGCATCACAGAGCCCAAATATTACTCATATATCCAAAATATTCTTGGATGATATATGAGCCCAAATATTACTCATATGTCCAAAATATTCTTGGATGATATATGAGCCCAAATATTACTCATATATCCAAAATATTCTTGAAATATATCATATATCCAAAATATTCTTATTCATATATCCAAAATATTCATATATGAAATATACCATATACCCAAAATGAAGTATATCATATATCCAAAATATTCATATATGAACCCAAATATTACTCATATATCCAAAATATTCTTGGATGTCAAACATGATGTCAAAGAAAATATTTAGTGCCATAAATTATAAAGCAAAGCTGAAAAACAAGGTGTAAACATGACTAGTGTGCAGGAAGACCAAAGAACTGTTGAATTAAACACACTAGTTGATACGCAAAGAAACACACTAGTCGATAGGCAAAAGAGAGGTTTTAAGTTAGTGGCATTGAGGTTATGGAGTAACCTTTGTTCTATTAGTTAAACCAACTAATGCTAAGAAGTTATGGGAAGCTGTTCAACAGGGGTGAGTAAAAATGTATTGATCAATAGTTTTCAAAAAATTCTGAATACTGCTTTCATGCTCATAGCTGTATATGCACTTTTTAAAATAATATATTTTAAATAAAAGGGAGATAATATTAGCTCCCAATGTTAAAATAATATTTGGGACCCATTAATAAAGGGAGATAATATTAGCTCCCAATGTTAAGCAAAAATATATATATTAATTAGATTAATTAGATTACATAACAAAGATAGATTTAAAAAATATATATCAAATATTAATTTACGTATAATTATAAATAATTACATATTAATCTAATCAAATATAAAACATATCAAATTATGAAAGGAACTTTTATTTTTAAATTTAACCTGCTGTTTGAAATCAACAACAACATCTTTGGACTTTAATGGAAAACCAACACCTGTGGGCACATAAAGCTGGAAAAAAATAAATAAAAATAAACATAAAAAACATCTAGAAAATTGTTTTTAAAAACTTGTTAATACAAAAGCCTAGTCTATAAAAGTCTAAAAAAGCTCAAGTGTTAAGAAAATTAAATAAAAATATATCTTATAATTTAAAAAAATGTTTTATTAAAAAAAAAAAATTTCTGATAGATAATTAAATATAATAATTATAATTTTTTTGATTTATCTTCAACAAGATACCTATGGAAAATCATACACAAAAATCTATGAAGTTTATACTTTAAAACTAATTCAAACAGAAGGAAAATGAACAAGTGTTTTTAAACATGTATTAGTTATTTTTTATCATGCCTCCTAGAGCAATATTTTTTTGAACATGTCAAAATTTTTTTAATTATTTTCTTAATAATTGCAAGTTTTTATTGGTTTATAAAGTTATCAAGAAGAAAACAACACAATCTATTACAAATTATTTAAATCATAACTAAGTTTCATCAGAACTCTTAGCAATAGTTTCACTGAAAGTTTCAAACCAAGTTTTATTTGTGAAAACGAAATCATTCAGAACTAAGTAGTAAAAGATTTAGATAAAAAGCTTAAAAACTTTTTGTTATTGCAAATAATAAATCAGTAAAGCTCATAATAATTAGACTGACTATAAATTAGGCATTCTCAATCATGCAAAGTGCTTAAACATAACACGTTTGAATAAACCAGACCAAACCAATATTAATAAATATATATTAATATAAAAGAAACCGTTTATGCTTAAAAGTTAAAGCTCTGATTGTCTTTTTCCTGAATTTTTCATTGTGTTTTTCCATTGAATAAAAATCTCCCATTCACAAACATTTAAATTTAATATAAAAAAATCTCAACAAATATTTAAACCTATTAGTAATAATAAACTATACTATTATATTTTATTGTAAAAAACAATAACAAACAATAAAATAATAAAAAATATAAATTTACAAAGAAACAAGCAGTCAGATCTTATCAGAAAGACACACAGACTCTTTGAATATGGTTAAAGGTAGAGTCTAGTCTGATTTATTTCATCAACCAACTTGTATAAAAATGTGAAAATTAAAATGAAATTATATTGTCTACTTACATCAACTTCTCCTAGAGTCTGAAAAAAAAAAAAAACGTTATTTAGTTAACAAGATTTCAGAAAAATTAAAATATTAAAACAATTTTTAAATTTATTTGAAATAAAACCCAATAAAAATTTATAATAATAAAAAAAAAATAAAAAAAAAAAACAAAACCTGAACCCAACTGTATTTCTCAAGATCAGCACCATTGCCAGCGTTAGGCTTCATTTTGCCTTTGTCATCTTCATCTTCTTCTTCATCCTGTAGTCAATTGATGCAATAAACAAACCTTGTACTTAGAAAATAATTTTTAACTAGTTCAAATTTTAATTATATTTTAATTATATTTTGTATACCCATAATATAAATGAAAACAATGTTTATTAATTGTAACAAAAACATGTTTTTTTAATTTTTACTTGAAAATTAACTTAAATAATGAAAACATATTTTTCACTTAATCTTAAAAAATCTGTGTTTTGGAAACAAAAATTTATTTAGCATATATTATTTGACACATAAAAGTTGATATTTGAAAATAAAAATAATGTATTCTAATAAAAAATAAAATTCTTAGAAGAAAAAAAATTTTAACCCAATAAAAAAAGTTATTAAAAACTTACTTCAATGTTAAAATTTTTATAAAATAAATGATATAGCAAAAATTTCAAAATATTTTGGCATATCTAAAATCACATCTCTGTTGAATATACAATTATTCTGATTTAATATCATCTGATAGAAAACTGTCCTTATACAATTCTATATTTTCATTTTCAACTGCGACAGCCAAATAACTAGTTTCGGTTTTTACAAAATTTTTGCTCGGATTTGAAAGAGCCGTGTTTATGTCTGCAATTACTTGAAAGGATAAATTTTCATTCTCCAAAAAAATGTTTTCGCTATCTATATGATTATGAAATGTATTTTGTAAAAATTGTGAGACAAAAGTTGCTGTCTTGTAATATAAGTCTTTCCCATTATTTTCTGATTTCTCTTCAGGGTTAACATGCTGGCATAGTTCAATAAACTTTTCTTCTGATAGTGGACAGTCTTCAGCAAGACTTATATTAACTAAAGTTTCATTTGGCATGTTAATGAGATTTGGGAGAATATCTTTATTTACTAAAGCTGAATCATTATGGGCATAAAATATTTGTAATGGTGTTGCTCCACACCCATGTGGAATACAACATGAATTATACCCAAGCATAAAATCTTGTAAAAGTCTGTTAATACGAGGTAAATAAACAAAATGTAAACAAAACAAATCAGTGTTATTGTTTAAATTAAGCGCACCTTCTTTTTCAAGTTGTTCGAATGTCAATATGATATTGTTGAATATATTGAAATTTAAATCATTTTTTATTACTGTTATCCATTGCACTCTTTCTAACTTAGGTGATATCTCTACAGCAGCTTCACCTTTTTCTTCAATCATATAATTTAACATAACAACTTTTTCAATTCTTTCATCAGTATTTAACATGGCCGGGCAAGAGTATTTCTCTGAAGCACTTTTAAAGCAAACAAATAAACTATCTTGTGCTGAATTTATGTTTGAAGCAACAGCAAAAGTCATGAACCTACTAAACATATCCAAGGAAAAAGAAACACAGATCTTCCATCGTTCTAGTTTTGTAACACTTTCACATCGCCATAAGCTGTTTGGTTTTGGACAATTAGGCGGAATCTGAATTCCTCCATTTTCAGGTTTTAAAGATTTATTTTTACTTTGTATTGCAGAACATAATGGATCCATTGATGTTCGTGCATTTACCAAAGCAATTCCTTTATTACACCGCAATAAAGGGCCATTGGGATCAACCCTATGAATTGACTCCCTTAAACGCTTTCGTTGCACTCTTATACCTTTACTTTTTAGTAGACCTAATAACCTTTTCTCTCCTATTTGCGAATTTTCTGATTTTATAGCTGATATTTTGGAATCTAGCTCCTCATCTGTAATTTCATTATAAAGTTTACAATCTTTATTTTGATTTCGAAATCGCCTTAATGTCCCATCTGATATTCCAAGAGCATTTGAAATTTGTACCATAGTAAAACCTAAAGATATTAACTGCTTGGCACGACTTTGATCAAAATCAACAGATGGTCGACCAACACGTTTGGATAAAGTATTTTGTTTCTTTTCGATTCTAGATCTGCGTTTACCTTTACTAGATTGTAGATTTTGGTTGTTCAAATTGAATTTCTCGTCTCCATCATCAGCAAAGACTGGCCAAACCATCAGCCTCTTAAAGAGAAACAAAACACCCATGTAAATGCATGAACATCAATGGTCACACTGCAACATCTAACTTTAGGTAAGAAATATCTTAAAAGAAAAAAATTTTTAACAAAAATGTTTTTATACACTAAAAAAAAAATTATATATTGATATATTAAGGTGAGTTTCCACTCACCCATTTTTTCACGGGAGCAGGAAAGGGAAGGGAAAAATAATCACGTGGGCATGCGTATTATAAGCTTTATTTTGTCCGAAGTAAAACTGCGCATGCTTAAGTGAATATTTTTCCTTTTCCTATCCCGTTCCCGTAGAAAAACGGATGAGTGGAAACTCACCTTTAAGCTTTTGTGTTTGTGAGTGCGTATGAGTGTGCTTTAAATAAATTTTTTTGAACTTTAAAACAATAATATTGTTAAAATTGTTTAAAGTGATTTAAGTTTTATTAATTTCATAGAAAAAGAAAAGAATTTTTTTTAAACTTATATTAAACTAAAAAATTATCAAGACAAAAAACTCAGATATCATATTTTATTACAATTAATATACGTTATTGGTTAAAAGTTTAGTTCGAAACTGGACACAATATTGATATATAGAAGGTTCAAAGAATGAGTTAAATGAATAAATGAGGTCTTACCTAGTATTCTTACTTTGGTGTCGCTTTTTAATATAAATATACTTTAATTTGAAACTAAAAGCTGTTTTGTTTGGCTTTATTGCTTCTCATAAATTTAACATGAAAAAAATGTGGTAGAATTAAGGTAAAACTCTTTGCCCAGTCATAAGGTACGAGCATCAAAACCACCATATACCTCTGAAAGTACCATACTTGACCTGTTTTTCTGTGTGGTGGTCTTGTTTAACATGGTTTTAACACCAATTTTTAAGACCGGTAGCAGAAGAAAGGGCTCAAACTAAAGACCAGTTTGAGCTGAACATCATATCATCATATATATATATCACTTGTCACATCTTTGCGGCAGATGTGGAAAGAGGGGAAAGAGGCGAAAGTGGTGTGCCTAGTATAGTATGGAGGTGCCTAGTGCTGCACCTCTTTGTCAATATATTATTAAGATTTAATTGTTAATGGATTTAATTTTCTATAAATAATACTATAAATAAAAAAGGTATATATTATATATTTTGGAATATCATTATTTTATATTCCATTAAACTTAAATTTTTATTATTCAAAGTTCAGCTCAATTGATTTAATCAAAAATAAAAAATTTAACTACTTTGTGTGAAACAAATTTCAAAAAAATTTACTATTGGGTTATTCCATATCAAATCACCTAAAGGCTCCCAGGGTACCACCTCAGAATTGCTTTAAATTTTGACCACACAGATTTTATGAAAATAATACATTCCAGAAAATTACAGCTTGATTGACCAATTTGTTTAAAAGTTATGATTAAATTAAGTTACCGAAATCCGAAAAATTTGTGTATCAGCAGTTTTTTTTTGATTTTTACAAACCATGACTTTTTAAATAAAGACGGTGATCACCTGAAATTTTGTAGGGTAATAGTTTTTCACCCAAATAATCCATTATTGCAGTTGTTTTCGACTGATTTTTTACAGTTTTTGAGTTATTGTACCTAAAAGTTGCTAAGTATTGCAACATTATAAATATTTTTTCGAACTTTAACGTGTTACAGTTTCATACTTACAGAAAGTGGATTTTTTTGTTACCTTTTTGTACTTAGGGTCACCACTTGTTAGAATAATCAAAATTATGCATTAAAAATTAATTTAGCACATGCAGCAGCCTATTAAAAAATCACTTTTTTTTTAAATTATGATAAATTACATCGACTTTCCTGGCATAGAAAGTAGCATAAACAGTTGAAATAAATTATGAAACTTTTTAATGTTGAGGTTCTATATATAGACAATCACCAAAAAAAAAAAAATTTAAAGACCTATACTCTATCTTTTGACATGATTGTAGCCTTTTGAGAGTGATGATATTTTTAAAAGGAGAACAAAAAAATACCACTTACCACATACAAAATTTTTAACTTAAATTTTATACAAACTATACTGTAAAAAAGTGCATTCAAAGAGTAAGATAGTCAGTTAAAAGAAAAAGTATGTATACATGAAACTAATTAGCTTATCTCTGATTTATGTTTTACTCATAATACTGTCATAGTTATTACTAGCAAGAATATAGTCACGAGCACTTATACTTTTAATCAATGGAACACTTATTTGACATATTATCTTGTCAAATGGAACCCAACACAGACTTGATCGTGCATCGTTTGTCCATTTTAAATTTAATTTGTTTCTTTGCATAAAAACATATCTCCTCATATAGTTCAAAAGTGTCCAATTCTTTGTGAAAACATATCTCCTCATATAGTTCAAAAGTGTCCAATTCTTTAAATTAAAACTTCAGCATCTGTGCTCACAATATCTTTTAGTTTTATTCTTCCAATCATTCTACAATAATACGTTTTGTCACAATCTTTATTTAAAACTTTCCCCACACAACATTTCTTAGTCATTTTTTACTATTTTTTTATTTTCATTACTAATCTAAAAAGTTTAAAAAAGACATAAACATAATAAATCTCAAAGAAACTAACAAATATCAGACACTGATTATGAAAGAAACTAACAAATATCAGACACTGATTATGAAAGAAACTAACAAATATCAGACACTGATATATTAAAGAAAACTGAATATATTCATTCACAGATAAAAAAAATATATACTACTGTCATCCCTATGACTAATTATTACACTATGACCTAAGGCTAGCTCATAGTCTAATAACATTCTCCTTTTGAAAATATCATCACTCTCAAAAGGCTACAACCATGTCATAAGATAGATTTAAACTTTTTTTGGTGATTGTCTATATATAGAACCTCAACATTAAAAAGTTTCATAATTTATTTCAACTGTTTATGCCTATTTCTATGCTAGCAAAGTCAATGTAATTTATCATAATTTTTAAAAAAAGTGATTTTTCAATAGGCTGCTGCATGTGCTAAATTAATTTTTAATGCATAATTTTGATTATTCTAACAAGTGGTGACCCTAAGTACAAAAAGGTAACAGAAAAATATACTTTCTGTAAGTAAGTATGAAACTGTAACACGTTAAAATTCAAAAAATATTTATGTTGCAATATTTAGCAACTTTAAGGTACAATAACTCAAAAACTGTAAAAAATCAGTCAAAAACAACTGCAATAATGGATTATTTGGGTGAAAAACTATTACCCTACAAAATTTCAGGTGATCACCATCTTTATTTAAAACGTTATGGTTTGTCAAAAATTGAAAAAAACTGCTATAAGCTCCTGATACACAAATTTTTCGGATTTTGGTAACTTTTAATTCAATCATAACTTTTGAACAAATAGGTCAATCAAGTTGAAATTTTCTGGATTGTATTTTTTTCATAAGACCTGTGTGTGGTCAAAGTTTAAAGCAAATCTGAGATGTTACCCTGGGGAACTTTCAAAAAACTAGGTGATTTGATATGGAATAACCCTATTACTCTGAACAAAAATTTTAAAGCATTAATCGATAATAAATATTTATAGCTTTATATTATATATATATAAGCATTGAAAGAAAAATTGAAAAAAATCATTTCACATCATGCACTTCTCTTATCACATTAACAGTATTGTAAATTAGGCTTTAAAATAAAACATGTTTAATGGTCAGTATGAACAGACTAAAAAAAAAGATGATTTAAAAAAAGCATTAGGAGGATAAGGGCTTATTAAAAGAAAAGGAGCATAAGGAAGAGGGGTAAACATCAATAATTTTAACTTCTTTCAATATTTTTGTGAATTTTTTAATTAGAAAAACTATTTAGAAAACTTGTATTTACCAGGGGTACAACAATTTACCTTTGGCTAATACCAATGAGTATTAGTCAATACCAATGCATGCATCATTAGCCCCACATTAAACTTACTCTATTGCTAAATTTGCCGTCAGCCTTTAGAATTAGAAAAAATAGATATAGAGGATTAGAATAAAGTCTGCAAATTATTGCTAACCTTAAACTACTTTTGATTGACACTTAGTATAAGACATCATCTAGTATAAGACATCATACAATCTAAGAATCGCATCTTGAAGAAAATAGGAGAGTTAAATTGCTTTACAAACCACAACCTGTTATTTAAAAGTGGCTTATCAACGAAAGTAAATACTTACACTAACTCTATAAAGAAAAAATTAGCTCAACATAAACTTCAGAAAATTTTTAATAAGCTTGTCATTTTCCTAAAGACAAAATATTCCTGCAAAGCAAATTTTTTCTTTAATAAGCATGCGCAGATAAAACATTTATGGTAATTATGCTGATACAGTGTTTGGCTGCAGCAAAAAAAAAAAAAGACGGATTCATTTTAACTTTTTGCAAAAAACAATCAAGTTTCAAATATTATATCACGTGATGTCAACAGTAAAAAAAGCGAAAGCAAATTGTTTTTTAAGTGGCAAAGAAACAAACCTGGGGTTCTTATTGATTTTCTATGAACTCACTCTGAACATTGGCAATCGTCATAAAATAAGAATTTACAAATATAAATTTGCACACCGTCAATTCCAAAAGTTACAGTTCATAAGGTTTATCTTGTGGCCACATGAAGATAAATCTTTTTGTGAAAAACCCTACATGGAGTTAAACCTGCTGTTCATTCTTGTAGTAACAGTTAACAGAAATGTCTATACCAAAGTTTAGCATTTATTTTCTTATACTTTCTTATAAAAAAAATTTATATCAAATTATTATATTACATAATGATATCTTACATATAAAGACAGAAATGTTAAAACTAATGCATGAAAAGAAATTTCCACATGCTTCAAAGTAGAAAGTAAGCTAAAAAAGAAATAATTGCTTTTAGTTAAACATACATCATAAACATATTGCTGCTATTTTTATTGTTGATAGTGAAAAAAAAGTACTGCAAAAAAAAAAAAAAAATTGTGGAAAACAAAACAGCGTTTCGTCAATATTTTATCTTCTGGAAAAAGGCCTTTAATTCTGATCGAAAAATAAATGTATTTATTTTTAAAATTAAATTTAATGCTTGGGTTCAACTTAACTGTCAAATTTATTTTTAAATTTTGCTAACTATTGTTCAATATTTAAAATTTATTATTCTTAAAAAAAAATTATCTCATTTTTAACGCAATTGTTTTTTCGGTTTTCTTTCCTAAACATATTGAGATGGATCGAGGTTTTTTCAACCAACGGCAGGCAATATGTTGTAATAGGAGAAGTTTCATCATCATGGTTATATATATTTAGTGGTGTTCCTCTGAAGATCTGTTCTTGAGTCTCTTGTTTTTGATATTCATCAACAACATTCCAGGAACAAAACAATTTATATGAAAATTTTACGGTGACAACAGCATACTAATGAAACCGATAAAAAACATTCTGCATAAAATCAGCTAACAACAAGTTAGTCGAATGGGTAAGTATATGGTTAATGGAGTTAAACGAAAAGAAGTACAAGGTTATGTACATTGGCAAAAAGAACCATAAGACCATATAAACAATGACAGAAAATGGTGTTGAATACAAATTAGGCAAAACAACAGTAGAACATGACCTTGGGTATTGATCTCATCAGACATAAAATGGCATCATTAAGCTTACGCAGCAGCAGCAAAAGCGCAGAATGTACTCAGAGTAATCAATTTCTGTCTGGAACCCTACTTTGAAAGGTGACATTGAAACACTAGAAAAGGTCCGGCGTCACCCAACCAAACTGATACAAAATCTTAAACATCTATGTTACGAGGAGGGACTATCCAGAATGAAATTTTTACCCAAAATGAAAACTACATTAGAGACATTTGAGCAACGATCTAATACAAGAGCATATTACATGGGTTAGACCACAACTATTTGCACTCGCTACAGCATCTATATTACTATAACTATTCCTATATTTTTTCAACTCAAAATTAAATTTTAAATAAACTTTTAATAAATAAAGTAAATAAACTAGCATAATTTTTTAAATTGTAATTCTCTAATTTTTTAAAAATAAAAAAATCATTTGTAATTGCCAAGCTGCAATTTGAAATTTAAGAAATAATTATTTAAAAATTCAGAAATTTAACATATTTTAATTCTTTATGCAAATGTCAAGAAAAGAAAGAAATTTGTTAAATACCAAACATTTTGAAAAAAGTAACAATAAATTTAATTATTAAAGTTAAATAATATCAAACTCGTTTTGCGGTAATTAAAATTATTGCAGTAATTCAAAAAAGTTAAGATCTTAAAAAAACAATAATAAAAAATGACGTAATGACAAATTCACGAATCCATTAGGCATTTTTTATTTAATACAAGGCCTGTGTATATATATTATATATACTATATTATAATTGATTTCATACTTATACAGTTCTTTAGTGAAAACACAGTGAAACCCGGTTTTACTGTGCATTCAGTAAAAAACTGTGTAAGTATAAAAATGTCAGAAATACTGTAACAAATCATATACATTATTTTTTTGTATGTTTTACAAAAATACTTCAAATATTAGGCTTAATAAATATAATCAATTTTTTTGTAAAAAAAAAAATTTTTACAGAATAAAAACATTTTATTTATAAAATTAATAGCAAAAATTTTAAAGTTTTTACATTCTCCTGCTTGGTGTAGTTAAGGTGATTTATAAGTTATTCAAATTCTTTGATTTAGAATAAGCATGTCATGTCAGCATATTATATCCAAAGAAGAGCTTTAGATGCCATAATTTTTATTGCATCAAGTTTTTATGTTTAAAGAAACTTTTCTCTTTTTTATATAATTTTTAAAACTTTTTTATTACCCATAATTTTGAATCAAAAGAACTGCATTTTTGAGTCTTTAGTTCAATTAACTCAAAAGCTTAAACTTAATTTTAGTTAAAAAAAATTTTTAAATGCCTCTATCTACTATAAATCCTAGCTCTAATTGGTTCTAGCATATATTAATTTAATATAATTATCAAAACACAACATTTCTATCATTTTTTACAAAAATATTAGAATTCTGACTAAAAAGTGCTTATAATTAAAAAAAGTTCCTATAAACAATCAGAACAGATCATATTATTAAACTATGATGTTCATTTCACATAAAAAGCTTATATATTTAAAATCTTATTTAAATTTGAAAAAACAATCGTAATTTTAAGATTTTTTTTTTTTAAATCTTCGGTCTGGGTTTTTTTTTGCTACAAACAATTTTATTTTATGTTACAAAAAAATTTATCATTATAATTTTTTTCATCTTTTCATGATTCACAAATCTGATCATTTAACAGAAATATGTTGTAGTCAGCAAAATATTATACAGACGCTATAATTATTAAAAAATGGCCTCAACCACACCGAATGATGAAATAATTTATTAAAAACTGAGTAAATAACTAAAAAAACTAATGAAGAGTAAATAAATATAGTAAATAAGTAAATAAATATAAGCAAAAATACCTTATCTGATTTAGAGTTTTTATCATTTTCTTCAGCTTTTTGATTACGTTTATTTTCTTCAATAATTTTATTAGCTTCATCTTCTGTTACTTCTTCAATTTTAGCAGATGAATCAGATGATATCTTAGCAAACTCTTCTGCTTCGCGCTGTTTTTGCTTTTCTCGATGCTCTTTAAGTTTTTGCTCTCTGTCTTCTTTTTCTTTTAAGACTTCCATACGCTTCTAAAAATATATATCTTTTTTAAACTTTTACTTCATGCGCACAAGAAAAAGAAATCTTTTAAATAAACAATATTTTCATAAAATTCTTAATAAACTGTTTATAAAAATTCTAATGCCTTCGAATTTTAAAAATTTTAACGCTCAGTTAAAATTTTTAAAATTCAAAGGCGCAATCTAGTACTTTTTACATATATATATTTTTCCTTTTCTTTATAACTGATTGTCAAAGTAGAATATTTGCTGAATGTCAAAATGTCAAAGAAACTAAATGTCAAAGTAGAATATTTGCATAAAAGGGCTAGATAGGCTACAAGCTGAAGTAAAGATGTAGAATGAGTAAAAGTAAAGATGAAGCTGTAAAATTAAAAAGGAAAATAAAAAAAAAACATGTTGAACAAAATAAAAAACATGCCACATACATACAAAAATAATCATAGCATTATGTGAGCAACAAATTACATGTTAGAAAATATTATTTATTTAATTAATAATTATTAAAAAAAAATTAACATTGAAAAAATACTTTATTTAATTTGATCCCAACTGTGAGGAGATGCAAGTAAAATGGTTTTTGTTGCACCATATTTAATAATCAATTCTATAGACTACAAGTTTAACAGGTTTACTTAGAAAATTGTAAATTGTTAATCCACGGCTGTTTCAGAGTGAGCTTTACGGCTTCTTGTTTTTTTTTGGAAAATATTGACTTAGGGGGTGTTACTAAAACATTTATAACTTTTGAAATATTTGAGAAAATTTTGTTCTGTAAAAAGATTTAAAACAACAATAAAATGTTTTATCATATGACATTTAATACAATAGTAAAAAAACTTCTTTTATTTAATAAAAAACGCAACAAATGATGAACTTGGATAAATTTTAGTAATTTGTTGTTACTTTTTATCAAAAAAAAATCAGAAAAATATACTTCTGATAATTATAATCACACACTCGTTATTTAACTATTATTAAAATAAAAAAACCTTACTTAATTGTTAAAGGTTAACTAAAACAGTCTTTATTGAGGTCTGCAAGCAAACCGCATTTTTTGCAAAATTATGAAAGATGTCGCTTAAAGGAGGATTAACTTTAAATTGAGTACGTTTTTAAATATGAAAATAATTCACTAAGTTGATAAATTTAATGCATTACAAAATAAAGGCAGATTTTGAAATATTTAGTCTTAAAATGTTAAGTTAAAGCCTTTAAAAAATTTAAGCGATTACTTTCTATGCATACAGTTTTAATAATATAGTGAAAGGTTTATTGAATCAATCTCTTCTCACAAAAAATAAAACATTTGTTTAAATATACAACTAGTTAATTTAAATTGTTTGATAATGTGTTTTTATTCTCATGAAAAACTGTTTTATAATAAGTTGATCCACTGATAAGTTCTTTAAGTAGAAAACGACCTTTGCACACCTAGTTGATAATAAATCCAGGCTCAATTCTAAACCAGAAGAACAGTTTTTGTTCAACAGACTCACAATGGTGACAATAACTTTAACATTTTCTTTATTTAAACTGTATCTTTTAACTAACTTGTTATTTATGAGTCTTAAATTCTATTCTTTAACCAGAGAAAAGGTATGTTGAGCAGAGGTACTGCAGGGGTAGAACTAACTTCTGATGATAATAATCGAATGGGCATCTAATATTTAAATTAAATGTACATACAATAAAATACCATACATTTTTTAAATCAACTACACAAACAAATATTTTATATCATAGCCAACAAACATACTAGTTGCTCTGATAAGTTAAAGTAGTAAGCTATGTTTTTACACCAATTTAATCCTCGACTTATATACCATTCTTTAACCTAGATGGTTGGATAGGTATAATTAACTTGTGATAATAAGAATAAAGTGGGGACCTACCTAATATATAAAATCAATATAATAGAAAACAATAAATATTTTAAAGTAACATTATACAGGCATGATAAAACAAAATAAAATTTTCTTATTTACTATTTAAGGACCTTAGATATTATATCTCAGATATAAAAAATATTTTTTCATTAAATTTTTAATTATTTAGACTAAATTTTATGACCTCAAACAAGACAAAGGCCTTGTCTATAAAACGAATTTTCACCGTGCTCAGAACAAACAACACACTTTCTCACTTTAGAGGCTTGAAGCTTCCTATCAGCTTTGCTGTGCAATTCAAAGCGTTTTAAAACAAGACGCAGCTTCTGTTCCTGATTTCTTACTGAATGCAACTGTCTTAATTCCTTATTTACACTATTATGCAAACACTCTCCCTCCTCTTCACTCAGCAACCCAATAGTTTTATGCAATTTTACAAATAGTGACACATTAAAAACAAGTTCATGCATTTTTCGCGTGATACTTTCTTTTGGAAAGCAAGCATGAAACTTGATAGCAAATAAATTTATATATTGATGAAGCTCAGTAATTTTGGCATCAGAAAGAAATTTTCGCTTAAAAAGAATAGGTTGCAACTTATTAAAAACATTATTAAAAACATAAATTAAAAAACACTAAACACACGTACAAATCTATTTTTATTAGCTTTATCATCAAAAACACTACAAAGTTTATAGTGGTTTCTTAAGACTATTTTGCAATGATTACCTACAAACACATTACCATGATACACTTGCCGCTCAACCTTCATATCTTCAAGGGCCTTATTAAGAGACCTCTCATGAGTCCCCATGCTACTTTTGGATTTTTTTTCTAGGTCTTCACACTCCATCGGCAATTTAATATATTCGACATCTAAAACTTCGCGTTGTGCACGTATAAAAGAAATTTTTTCAGAAATATAATGGTCAAGACATTCTATATTTTCACCCTGACATGCTAAACACTCGTACATCGCTATGTCACACAATACACTCTTTTCTGAATCACCAATAATTTCACAAAATTGATGAAACCATTTTTGGCACGTACCACACTGCACCCAATCACTGTTACAATCATATTTTGTAATTAAACACCTGATACTAGCACACATTTCTTGCTGTTTACAGGGTTTGTTTTTTTTGGAGGAGTTTAGGGATATGCTATCTAATTTGGAAAAATTGTTTTCAAAAGCTAACCATCGCGCCTGTAGATTTACAACGTCTACAAATTGATTTCCTAATAAACGCAAAGTTTATGCTGTTTTAGAACATTCAATGCTTTTAGCAGCCCACAATTCATTCGCTCTCACAATCTCATTATGCGACAAAGACGAATCAGCTTAACAATCTAAAGTCCTACACTCCTTCAACAATAACTTATACAGTTTTAACACAACTCCTAACATAATATGCAAAACAGGTGGCACTACATTATCTAAAGTTATTATGGGGAAAATTACAGGAGCAATAATTGATTTATGAAACTTACCTAGAGCTCTTAAGTTTCCACCATGTCTATCTTCACACAAGTTCTCATTGTAAGCACTTTCCAGAGATTGTATTGTTCTCCTTAAGATGTTACAATTAGCAGGTGTGTGAAACATAGAAGCATGGTTTCTAAGAGAACTCAATTCAACTAGATCTGTAGAACTAGGAAAGCTAGCAGCTGAACCCTGGTGTCCCAGAACATCATCGATGAAATGAAAATCTCCACCTAAGAACAACCTGACTATTTTGCCTTTTAGCTTAAAATCTGACGACTGAATTCTTTTAATGTCGTTGGCATAATGCCGGAGAATTAAGGCAATATTCTCATGACAATCTGAACCCTGATACATACAAAACCAGGCTTGGTGGGGGAGCGATCGCTCTCGAATACTGACCACGGAAATTATATTTAGTTACGAAAAACTGGCCAGGTTTTTCAGTCGTTTTGAGGACATTTAAATTTATATATGAAACAAAAAATTTTTTGTTTTACGGACATACATGGAAACATAAAAAACTTGAATGTTCACAAAATATCTTAGTGCGAAAGAATCAAAAGAACATTTGCAAACACTAAAAACCCGCCAAATTGACGCACAAACTAATTCTATTGGTTCAAAAAATACGCTGACTAAGCGAAATAAAGTTCTCACGTAATGTGTTGAAATGTTTTATAAATTGTATTACTCATGGTTTGTTACGTTTTGAGATTCCTGGCATAAATTCTTTTGAGAATATATATTATTTGTTTACAAAAATTAATTTTTTAAATATATATTAATTAAATTGTCAAAGTTTAAAAGTTTATGATAAATTATAGATTTTATTAGTATATTCTTATTTTTTATTTAAAAAGTATGTATTCTTTATGTAAATGTAATTTTGTGTATGTTTTTTATCGTAATGTATCTTTTAAAGCAATTTTTATGGTTTAAACAAAGACTTACAAAAATATTTGCGTTTTCAATGAAGTTATGAATCATCAAAGTTAATAAAACTAATTATGTAACAAAAATATAAGAAGTTTATAAAAAAAAAATTTATAAAAAAAAATTAAAAAAGAGCAATGTTTTGAAAATATTTGTTCTAAACATAATTTAAGTTTTGTCGCGTTTAAAGATATTTTATTTGCCCAATTTTTTTTTTTTTTGTAATTGTCTCTCATCGGTCCAATTATTCTTTAGCGCTTTCTTTTTTTGCTTTTTAAAATGTTCTCAAAACAACTAAAAAATCTGGCCAGCTTATCGCAACTAAATATTATTTACGAGGTCAGCAATTAAGAGCGATCGCTCCCGCTTCCCGACTAAGCCTGATACAAAACAAATGAAAATCATATACAGACCCTGATGATTTAGAATTGACAACTTCAAAATGGAATTTCATATACTTTCCACCCTTATCCCCAGCAAAAAGGAGCCATACCTCTTCGCCAAAGCCAACATCCGAATTAAGGTGGTCGCGTACATGAAGATCATTAAAAACCTCTTTAATATAAGTTGTCAAATTCTTGACCATCAGTACAGATACTAAACAAGGTGCTTCATTCGCAGATGGATAAAGTAACATGGACTTCACAGTAACATGTTCTTTATTGACGTGCATTGTCCGCATTTCTTGTTCTTGTCTTATCTTGGGCTCAGATGGAAGAATCCTTGCACCAAGATTACACAGAATACGTCTTAGCCTACGGAATTCAGCCGTGGGCATCCTTAATTGGCTCTGCAGCTCTACAGCATCAGAAACACTTAACTGCCTAACTAAACCTAACTTATTTGCAACACAACAAAACATAGACTTATCACAAGACACAGAATCACAAAACAACATAGAAAAATCACTTTCTAAATCTGAACAAGCTAATAATCGAAGGAATATAAAAGCAAGTTTAGATCGTCTAGCTGCAGCATGCCTACCTAACTTAGAACAAAGTTTACTATGTCCTAACTTAATGTAAATATATTTTTTACCAACTATTGGCCTTTTAACTGATATAGTCTGTGGATTACTTAATTTAAATCCACAGAACAATTTAGAGGAACCAATGTTGTCATAGTCTAAATAAGAATCAACAACAACTAAATCCTTATCACCGCTTAGAAGACATTTGCAAATTTGACAACAATTCCGGTTTAAATCACTGATTTTTGCATTGTTTTTTTCAAATTTAATTTTTTTTAGCAATCTTACATTTTTGGCACGAGCAGATGCAAATTTACGCTGCGCTGTTTTGATTTTTTTTTAAATAAGTTGGAACTTCTCCTCCTGTTTTAGCCTAATACTCATAGCCTCTACTTGAGAACATAATGAGTTACAATGTGTACTAAGAGCCTCATTTTTAGAATTTAAATTACAAATTTCAGCTTCCAACTTTAATAACTTCAGTTTTAATTTCTCTATTTGCTCTACATTTGCTATATTTTCAGAAGTTAATTGGTCAACTTGACTACTTAGTTCCTTATTCCTATTTAGAAATGAAAATTCATCTGCATCTGCTGATTTTTTATTTATTTTTTATTTGTGGAGCAGGAGACAGTTGCATTTTAAAAAAGGCTTGGTTTTTTGAAGCTTTATAATCCCATTCAATCCATTCTATTTATAGTTTCCTTTCAGTAGAATACATAATGATAAATAAATCTTGTAATAAAAATATAACACAAACAATGCAAACAAAATAATATTTATTGACAAATAGATGAACAAGATATAATAGGATTAAAAAACTTATCTGATGTTTGTTGATTACTCACGAGAAAGAAAATTCGCCAAATTTTGTTTATTTTATACATCAAAATTTGTCTCGCTAAGAAAATTGTTTTCATAAAATTCATTACATATTGGGTTGGGACATACAGTATTTAAGGCCACATGATTGTTTTAAAATGTAAACAATATTTTGCGAAAAAAATTAGAAAAATTTGTTTCTAAACTAGCCAAGTTTGAAAACATGTCTTAACATAACTCGAGGTACAGAAAACAATTTTTTGATTTTCATATGCAGAAAGGGTTGAAATTTTAATAATTTGGTGCGGATTACAAAAATAATACGATTTTCATTATTTAATAATAAAAATAAAAATATAAATGCATTAAAAAATAATTAAAAAAAAAAAATAAGCAATCCGCACCACAAATTAGATAGAATAGACATTTATTTATATATGTTCCAAATTTCAACCATTAAGCATGTAGCTATGTTAGGAAATCTTAGTTGACCCAAGACAGGTTTTCCGTAAAAATCACAAAAAACAGATAAGTGATCCCAAATCATTAGCAATATCTTAACAATATTTTATTATAGCCCGTTAAATGTAAATATTTATTAAATAACAAAAGATAGATCTTTTATGTTTTTTTTATTTGAAGATGAAAGCATTTATAGAAAAAAAATACTTTTATTTTAAAGTTAGTGAATTTTTATATTTTTTATGCGGAAATACTTTTTTTTTGATAAACTCATGACATCACGCTCACTTTTACATAGAATGAAACAGCCGTGAATCATGTCAGTTGCATTAACGGGATTTTGTCATTCATTTATTTATGAAACATTCGTATTTCATTATTTTTAAATTTTAAAATCTTTGAAAAATCTCACAACAGAAATAATACATAAAATCAAGCTTTCCCAGGAAAGGCATGGGGTTTTTCATTTTGTATGACCACACGCGAGTATATTATTTTAGGCAACTTGAACACGCCAAGTTTTATAGTAATCAATGCTGAAAAAGTTTCAAAAACAAAAAAAACAAAACTAACAAAATAAAGAGATTAAAATAGAAAAAAATAAAAACACATTAATAGTTTAAATTATTTGTGTACTGTTTTTATTTTTATTTCTTTAGAGTGGTTGTTACATTCAGTAACAAAATAAGATAAGGCGAAGCAAAAAAAAACAGTTTGAAGTCTACAAATAAAAAGAATCATTTTCCTTTTCTTTACTTTTTTTTTTTAAGAGGATAGCAAAAATATAAATTGCAATTTGAATGTAAAATATATTTGTATAATTTTAATGTAACAACAATAATAATGTAATAACAAGGGTTGAGTTAGGCAAATGCAAAACCCAATATCTGGAAAAATATCTAGTATTCAAAATTTTAGTTTATACAAAACCATGTTTCTTGTTTTTAAGGTGTAAATCAACTTAAATTTGTAAGCAAAAAAATAAAAAATAAAACAATAAACTTACGACTACAAAAGTGATAACACTCTTGTCACTAACTGCATTACAAAAGTAATAACACTATAATAGTGTTATTACCTTTATAACGCACTTATAACTTAAAATTCCTTCTTTGTTCAAGCAACATAAGTAATCGCAAATTTTAATTGAAGTAGAAAAATATTTAGAAGAATAAAGTGGATGTTCAAATAATATTTAAAACTTAAATTAACTTATAAAAACGTGACAAACAACTTTATAAAAACGTAACATATTAAAAATTTACCATTGTGAAAAACGAACTAACAGACCGTAATTTTAAAATTAACTTGCGTTTTTACGTAATGTTTTCCATAATGCTATACTTTTTATAAAATACTCTTTTATAATGTTGTTTGAGTGATCTGTAAAAGTTTCTGAAATTTGATAAAATATAATATCCGCTTTACTTTTTCTAGATGCTTTTCTACTTTAATAAATGTTTGGAATTAATAATGTTGTTTGAACAAAGAATGAACTTTAAAAGTAATAAGTGCTTTATAAATGTAATAACACTATTATAGTTTTATTACTTTTATAATGCAGTTAGTGGCTAAAGTGTTATTACTTTTGTAGTCGTAAGTTTATTGTTTTTGTTTTGTAACTTTCTCGCTAGCAAACTTTTAGTAATTTGCTCCTTGTAAACAAAGTACACAGCTTTGCATGAATTAAAATTTTAAAGACCTAATATTTTACCAGAGTTTTCAAATCGCGATCGTATAATTTAACCCTTGATATATACTTGTTACATTATAATTATACAAATATATTTTACTAACAGATGATGATACATATTTTCTCTTTCCTCTTTAAAAGAAAAAACACATAAAATATAGGAAAGTCATCCTTTTTAATGCTTAAAACTTTTTTTTTTTTTTTTTTTTTTTTTTGCTTAAACTTACTGAATTTTGTTGCTGATAATAATAACCACCAAGAAAAAACAAAAATATAAACACACAAATTATTTAAACTATTATTATTGTTTTCTATTTAAGTTTACTTTAATTTCTTTGATAAAACTTGCGCAAAAAGCCATGATCAAGTCTAAATTAAAAAAGGTTTTTGCGGTCATACGAGACGAAAAACTGCATGCCTTTCCTGGGAAGGCTTGTAACATGGTGCTAATAAAATATACAAGACAATTACCTTTTCAGCATGGTCTTCAAATTCTTTCATAGCATCAATCACAGTCTAAAAAAAACATTTTTTTTAAATTTTATATTAAAATTTATTCATTTATATTTAAAAATGTAAACTAAAACATCTTGACAACAGGATTATACTGTTCTTTGGCCAAAAAATAGGCCTTCATATTTGTGATATACTTAGATGCTAAGTTATTAAATCAAAAAGAAAAAACATTTTTTAAATAAAAAAAATTAAAACATTTAAAAAATTTTCTGATCGAATAAAATACAATTTATTAAAATAAAATATTGATATCAACTTTTATTTACATTTACAAAATGGTCTGAAGGGTAATTCCAATATCAAATTCATTTAAATTAAAATCGCAATTGCTGATTTTATTATTTTTAAAATAGTAAAAAACATTGCTCATATAATTAAGAAACTAGTTCTATTGTAAAAAAAAATGCAATTCATTAAACTATACTAGTTTTATAACTTTAATTTTGCACATGGTTAAATGTCTTAATGCTCTTGAGTTTTTGATGGAAGTATAATTTTTTTCGTTATATCTCTTGGACAAAGAAAAACTTTTTAAAAAAGTATTTTTGAATTTTATTTTATTAATTTATTTCACAGAACCCAAGGACTTAGTGTACATACACAACCTTTAATATCTGTTAAAGTCAATGACTGAAAATGTTGGGTGCCCATGCATTCTAATATTATGGCAACTCCATTCCTCTTTCACTTTATCAACCTTAAATTCTATTAATTCAGAGTAACTAAACCAAATGCATTCCATTTGGAAACGATCCCCAAGTCTTAAATCATCATTCAATCCATTCAAAAATATTCAATAAAAGATGTTGTACATGTCCTTTTAAAGTTCAACTACAGGTTTTCAATTCTTTGGTTAGATTGCAAACTGCTGTATTTGTGCGCATTGATATTATTATGTACAAAAGAGTGTATTGCTGAAATAATATCATTTTCTGTGGTGCAATCAGTTCTTAGAGTATCTGGACACAATTTTAATTCTTTCGATGCATTAAGGTAAAAATGAGCTGGAATAATTGGGTCATTATTTGTTCAGTAAAGTTTTAACCAAATTATTTTACGAGAAAACCCATCTATGCATCCATGAATAGGGAAATCTTTAATCCATGAATAGGTACAGCTTTAATTTATCATAGCCATCGACATGCCACACAAAATTTGGACCTGGGGAACTATAAACTCTTTGTTTTAGTTTGCAATGTTTTCTATTTTCAGATTGCTTAGGGTTAATTTGTCTGAGAATGTTAATGACATTATCTCTGTTGACAGAGATATCGTAACTTATGCGTAATGTGCGGCATATACTGCCATAACCTTTAATTCCGGCAAAAGTTTGCACCTCTGCTTCTATTATGCGACGGATCGAAGTGTTTTTAAATAATCTGGTTTTTTTTCAAACCCATTGTAGTTAAACAAAGTTTTAATGTACTAACACTAACTTAAAAATCATGGTATCAACTTAATAGTAAAACAATTTTGTATTGCATTCTTTTGTGAAAGTAATGTCTAATCAATTCTTCAGTGTAGTTGTTTTGAATTAATGTGTCTTCCTCTGATTGTCTCCTTCATTCCCCGCACCGAGGGCAAAAAAACTCAATTTTGAATAAATATTTTCTTCTACAGCAAAAATAAAAGTTAACAGGCATTTTATCATTTGATTCTTTCTAATTGCTTATTTAATAAAACTGTTTTTTGTTTGTTTGTTTGTTAATATTATCAGCCTTTTGTTTTTCAAAGTATTATATGAAAGTATTATATTCAAAATAAAAATTTCCAGATTTAAAATTTATTTCTGGATTCAAAATTTATATCTGGATTTAAAATAAATTTCTGGATTTAAAATAAATTTCTGGATTTAAAATAAATTTCTAGATCTAAAATATATTTCTGGATTAATTATAAATATATTTCTTCATTTAAAATATATTTTGAGATTTGAAAGATATTTTACGATTGAAAAGATTTTTCTGGATTAAAAAACAATTTTGCAATTAAAAAAAAAATTTGGGATTAAAAATATATATTTCTGGATTTAAAATATATTTTCCGATTTGAAATATATTTCCGAATTTAAAATATATTTTGCGATTTGAAATATATTTGTTTGATGAGCTTTCTCGGCTTCCATACAAACTAAATCAAAACAACCACAAATATTAACTTATCAATTACATTAATTTACTTAATATACTCAAAGACTCGCAAAAGTTAGCCAAACATATATTTTTATTATATCTTATATGTTAACACAATATAAGCTTTTAACTATAAATTATTTTTTTTTAAGCTTTTTTTTCATAGATCATAAATCTTGTAAATGTTTTGAATAGTTAATTATATTTTGTTTTTGAAAAAAGTTTTATTATTAATAGTTTTTACTAGCTGTAAGCAACCCGTAATACAGGCTCTTAGTAAATAAAATTAAAAAAAAAAAAAAAAAAAAGCGTATAGAAAAGTCTAGAAACTACTTTTAAATAGAAAAGCCTAGAAAATAAAGTCGACTATTACTACTATTAAATTAGCGTATTAATATTATCAGATAAACATTCTAATGCAAACATAAGAATGTTTATGATTGCAAAAATTAAAATAAAAAATTAAATTATAAAAAAATTTAATTTAAGTTTCTAAAAAAATAATTAAAGCATATTCCTAAACTTAAAGAAATATAATTGGATTTATTAAAATCCAATTATATTTCTTTAATTTTTTTTGTTTCACTTTTTATTGGAAACCAATTTAAATAAAAAAAATTGAATGAAAACATCAATTTAAAAACCAGATACGATGGATCAAGAAACAATAATTTATAAAAAACGTGGTATCTAATGTCTTTTTGCTTTGATCTTACTTGTTTGTAAATATGAAAATGTTTTTATTTTATTAATTAGAACAATTTTATTTATTTGCTTCGTTTTATTTTAAACGCAGTTTATGTTATTAAAGTTATAAACTGTATAAAACAGCATGAAACAGAGTCATGAAGTGGTTTTACATTAACATTCTATAGCTCTTTATATTTTTAAAACAACTTTGCAGTTTGTTTTATTGTTTTGTAGCATTTTACTCTTTAAAGATGTCACATATTTTATCACCAACGTGAACGTATTAAATTATTGTAATATTTGCATTTTTACTCATACATTAATAATACAACACCTTATTTGCTCATTACACTTGATTGCGTTAATTCGAGCCCTGATATATATTTATATATATATATATATATATATATATATATATATATATATATATATATATATACACAGGCCTTCTCAGGAGAGGCGTGCGGTCGCACGCCTTGAATGACCACGCATATATATTTTTTTGTTGATAACATGGCCACGATTTTTTTTGCATTTATTAAAAATGACGCTTTTTAAAAACGCCCTGAAAAAATCAAACTAATTAGTCATCTTATTGGTTTTTTTTTATTAATAATAATTTATTATTATAATTATTTATGAGAAAATAAAAACCTAACAATAATGCACATATATATATTTGTAATTAATGATAAAATAAAAAGATTAAAATAATATATATATATATATATATATATATATATATATATATATATATATATATATATATATATATATATATATATATATATATATATTCATTTGTTTTCATGCATTTAATAAAATTCTGGCAATTTTTCGTTAAGTTTTTGTTTACTAAATAAATTACGTCATTAAGTAATTATTATTTCTTCCTGTTGGCTTGACAAGGTTTTAACTGAAACTTTTTATATAAGGAGAATTAAAAAAAAATTTTTTTTTTTTTTTTATATGTATTAAAATTATTTATTTTATTGTTTTTTTGTTTGTTTGTTTATGTACTATTATTTTGGTTGACATATAGATGTTTAGAAAAGATTTAAATATTTAAAAATTTAACTTAGCAGCATTATAAAAATTCAATCTTATAAAAATAAAGCAATACGCATAAACGTAAGAAGTGTAAATAAAAACTTCGTCAAACCAATTACTCAATTAAGTAATAATAAAGATGTAAAACTAAAATATTTTTCTGAAGTTGCTCTTGGTCTTGCGAAAAAACTGTTTTCGGTTTGATAACTTTCATGAATGTTATGAAAAACCACTCAGTTAGAGTGCCACCAGTTTTTAAAAAATTTCTTTGTTAATTATTTTTAATGAATGAGTTCAATACTTATGCAATTCTTTTGTTATGTAACTCTAACTCTTAATAATAGATAAAAAAATTATGATAACCGCTCGATAATGTTAGTGATGTAATTTAAGTAAAAAAATACAGTATCAAAAAAACAAGTTTATTTTAAAAAAGTTTTTATAAAAATTTTAAATTGGTATAGAATTATCTGCATTTTGTAAAAGTTTCTAATACAAACTGCTTTACTGATTCGCAGAAATGAGACCTATAAGTTGAATTTGTTTTTTTAAAATTGTTTTCTGTGTAACATAAGTGCAAGTGGCATTTTTAGAAATAAGTTTGCTTTCTTTAAGCCGAACTCAAAAGTTTTAAGCTTATTTTATTTATTAGACTAACAGCTTTCATACAAAATTGCTTTAAGTTTAATTTAAAAGTTTAAATAAGCTAATATTTGGTAATGTTGTTGCGCGTGTAACGTAAGTTAAAAAAAAATTGCCCATATCTATTATTTTAATGTTTTTATTTTCTCATTAATAACTATAATAATGAATTATTAATAATAATTAAAAAAAGATGAGCAATTAATTTTGTTTTTTCAGCGCGTTTTTGAGATGCGTCATTTTTAATAAATGCAAAAAAAATCATGGCCATGTTATCAACAAAAAAATATATATGCATGGTCATTCAAGGCGTGCCACCGCACACCTCTCCTGAGAAGGCCTGTATATATATTAGGGTGGATCGATTTTCATAGCAAAAAAAAAAGTTTAAAAATCAATATTGCTGAAACACAAATCGATGTCTATTAATTATATAATAAGTAAAAATTTTTTTTTTGATTTTGATGAGATCTTAAGGTTCCTCTTTGGATTCTAAGTTTATGACGGATCCTAATATTGTTGAAATTTTTTTTTTTCTAAACTATATCAACCTGGGACTCAAAAAAAGCAGAAAAAAATGCTTGTTTTATCAATAATAATTTTATTAAAAAAAAATTTTTAGTGAAAAAAATATTTGCAAAATTATACCTTAAAATACCTTAAAACCCCTGTCTTTATCATTTTGATAAAGACAGGGGTTTTTTAATGAAAAAAACAACATAATTTTTTTTTTCTTTAGTTTTAAATAAATATTTTATATTCAAAATAAGCGTATTATTCTGCTTCTTTTGAGTACCAGGTTGATATAGTTTAGAATAAAAAAAATTTCAACAATATTAGGATCCGTCATAAACTTAGAATCCAAAGAGGAACCTCTAAAACTCATTTAAATTTAAAAAAAAAAAAAAGTAAGGTTCTTTTTTTACCAAAAGACATCGATTCGCAGCTCAGGCAAATCAAATTTCAAAAATTTTTAAAATCGATCCACCCTAATATATATATATATATATATATACACACACACACACACACACACACACACGCACACACACATTAAGTTATATGAGCAAAGCCAGATAAAATACTGAAATGTTATGATGAATGTGTCAAGCAGGGAAACTATGAACCCCTTGATGAAATTTTTGAGATTACTAAAATGTATGGAATATGGTTATCTTCAGAGGGCAATTGTACTATCTCCAAGTGGAAAGCAAAGGAACAAAGGGATACTCTACAGGCCAAGCGGCCAGTAAAGAAACGATCCATCCCTCTTAACGACAAAAACCTTCCAATGAGTCATTTAACTCATCATCTTACTACCCTGGTTTTAGTGAGGCTGACAATGGTGAATATGAAAACAATGAAGAAGATGAGACAACTCCTACGCCTAGCAGAAAACATCATAAAAGCTAAATTACAGTCAAATTGGTGAGCTCCACAAAAGTTTCAACAAACAAAGCTGTTAACATATGCAATCAACTGGCTTGTGAAGGCATTGACATCTCAACTCCATGTCAATCAGCTATTTACAAGTCAACAATCAAAGAGGCAATCAAGCTGAAGGAAGAAATTATTGAAAAGTTGTATAAGGGAAGTTGGTCCTTAAACTTTGATGGCAAGCATATTGACAAAATGGATTATCAAGTGGTCGTCCTTAAAATTGAAAGAAGAGAAATCAAATTCGATGTTCTTTGTTAACACATTGGAAAAAAAAATAGTGTTGTTGACGAATGTTCATAGAGAAACGCATCAACAAACCTCAGTTTATCAGTTGTCAACACCATGTATTAGATAGAATCCTCTGTTTGGTGATGGATGAAGAACTTGGAAATAAAACACAATCGCCAAACATCGAATATCAACAGTTGAGATACAAATGGAAAAACTGAAAACACAGTTTGATAACGGAACAGAAGTAATTCTCCAAACATCAGGCTGGAGAGATGAAATTTTTGTTTTATCTCACTTGAGTGTTCTGATTTTTTGAGGAAAAGATACATTTTCCATTGATCAGGTTTTAGAAAATACCCAACATCAGCAATGCGAGGTGGAACTCCAGAGCTATGCTAGCGATCCTGGCCTTCATTTTAGTTCCTTCAACAAGCACAGTTCTGCAGAGATGTCGATTTATATCATATGGTTGGGCAGTTATTGGTTGATAGACCAGCTGTACAACAAAAATGACTTTAATAAATTGGCTGAAATACTGAATCCATACAAAAAGGCTTTAAGCTCTTTGAAAAATCACTGAAAGCAAGAGCCATCCATACTACAGATACCCAGAAGTAATCAATGCGCAGAGCACGCAATCAAAATAATGGAGGAAATTTATTCATCATGCAAAAATAAAGACAAATTGCACCTTCGATTCTTTCTGTGCAACAAACAAAACAAGGTCAACGGTCTGAGTCATTTTTGGATTGAAAATTTATTGTATTACATGACTATGACATTCTAAATACATTTGAATACATAGTAGTACTCAAACCAAAATCAATTTTTCAATAGCAGGGTGAACCTTTTTGAAAAGATATGCAAATAATAGGTCATTTCGTGCTTTTTAGGTGAAAGTTCATCAAACTACAGTACAGGAGCATGGGTTGATAAAAAGTCATAACCCTAATATATAAATATAAATAGCTTTTAGGTTTTATGGTTCTAATTTCAGCAATACCGTCTAAAGACTCAATGTGAGTATGGTTCACTATGAGTTTATAGTTTTATTTTCTAACAAAATTTAAAAGAAAAATGTTATTAGTTGTAACTGTTGTTGCTAGATTAAATCATCTTCACCAACTGAAAACTTAAAAGTTTTTTTAGTTTTAGAATTTTACAGTTTTACAAAACAAATAAAATAATCATCATTAAAAAAATACAAATTACAAAAAAAATAATAATACTTTGAACATAACAACATATATAAATAAGTTAAAATTTTTAATTAAAACTCATTACTTAAAAATTAAACCTCGAAGAAAGTTAAAAAATAAGTTTTTTACAGGCTGCCTATCTGTAACTAGTTATAAAACGAACAATATAAAAAATAAATTAAAATATTTAAGATATTAAAACATTCTTGAATTTTTAGGACTTGCTTTTCTTATCTTTTTCTTAACTTTTTTTTTTAAAAAGCCTTGAGATTTAAAATCTGAAAAATAAAATCTAAAGAAAAAAAAGCTTTTCAGCTTGGTTTTGAAATATATTATTTCAATATTATATAAATATATTAATATAATATTTTTAAAATCATGAGACCATGACAATTGTAACTTTACTGAGACCACGGCAAAACATGGAGAGTAGGAAGGTATGTACATTTATGTACCAAACCTAATTGCAAGCAAAATCTGAGGTGGTAACTAAGGGAGCTTACTGTTTAGAATGGATAACCTGACAACTTGTTTTCTTGATGAAACAGTGTTAAAAAATCAAAAGCATGTTGCAACCACCAACTATTAATGCCAATAATTTGTGAATTTATTAACAAATTTGTGAGCATTATATATTAACTAAGTAAATAAAAATGCTAAAAATTTATAAAAAGTTCCTTTGTTTAGATAATCTCACAAAAAAAAAAAATTTAACTTAATAAGGAAATGATACCTGTCGAGGGACTCCTGGAGCTGCGCCATGAAAAAAATCAGTTTTTCGATAAAGAAATCCAAAAAATGTATACAAAAGCTATAAACATAACAACAAACATATATAAATAAAAACATTGTGTGCAATATTTTGTTACATATTTTATATATTTTATAAGTGCAAAAGTTTAAATAACAATTTATAACAATGTAAGAACAAATTTTAATACATAAAAATTAATCAATTTTTAAATCTAGCTTCTATATTTAAAAAAATTGAGTATGTTATGTTTTTATTTTAATAATAATAATAATAAACAAGATTTATAATCCTCGGTTTTCAACCTGATTTTCGAATGAAGTACTTATATAAAACTAAATCTTAGCCTGTCTCAGAAAGATGAAACACATACAAGGTTATTTTGATTTAAATCATGATTTAAAGCGGGCAAATAAAAATCATTAACTAAATTGATTTTTTTAATTATAATTGTTTTTAATGATTATTTATTGATTTAATCACATTATTCATTCAACTATTATAGACTGGTCTTATAATATTAGAAAGTCTGGCAATATTAGAAAGCTCTACTAAAATAAAATTAAGATTCTAGTAACATCACTTTATGAACTAAAAACTAACTTAAATAAATTAGGAAAAAGATTAAAAAAAAATGATTCAGGAATAATTCATTTTATACCATATCACACATGTAAAATGTCTTTAGAATTTAAAAGTAAAAGCATTATTATCTATTACAGCAATCAAATATTTTTAATTGGGTCTAATTTCTTTTAAATTAATTAAAACGAAAACAAAATGCTCGTTTTAATTAAACGGAATGATTGCAACAACAGACGGTAAGTTTTGAACAAAATGTTATAATACAAATTAAAATACTCCTAAACTAAAATACACACCTGTTTGACGCCACCCTCATGCTGCTGTGCCATGGCTAGCAACATACCATCAAATTTTTCAGATTCACTCATTTTTGAATCAATTTAAATATTAGAACGGGGACTTTCACTTCAACTCACGTTCAATATTTATCGAAATTCTAGAACGTCTAGGGATACATGCTTGTTAAAAACAAGAAGCGCTATTTAAGGACAGCAGTTTTCGCGTACAAATATTGGCGTAAAATAATATAGGGAATCAGGACTCCCTATATTCTCCCATAGTCTTGACTCCCTTTTTTTTATGTCTTTTTTATAAAGTATATATTTTGTAAAATAAATAAAAGGTATATAATAATAAAGTATATAAAAATAGTAATAAATTGAAAAAAACTTTTTTTTAAAGTAAATAAAAAAATTACGTTTTTTTATAAAAGATAACTGACTTTTTTACGTCCAAGCTTATACCATGAAGAACTAAAGAAAAGGGATACGGTAGCTGTCCACGTGGCATGCAGGCGTGATTTCACTAACCCAAAAAGAAAAGATATCAAACAGAAAGCCCTAAAATTAAAAAATTGAGCAACCGTGGCGCAGTGGTTAGAGTTCTGGCTCAGAACCCAGAAGGTCCGAGGTTCGACGCCGACATTTATGAATCTTGTTTGTTATTAATAAAATAAAAACATAACATACTCTAGCCCAATAAGCGACATTGGTAATGAAAGAAGGCGTGAACTTCTAGTTAAATGCTCTCCCGCGGTGCTCCGTAATAAGACCGTAAGGACTTCTGGGAGCACCTAAATAACCTAAAAAATAAAAATTGCGCGTTCTGTAAGATATTTTTGTATTTACTTAATCTTGTGCTTGTATCATTGTTCCATAGTATTTTAAAGTTACTATGTTTACTAAGGGTAAAAGTTTAACCGTGCATTTTGGCTTAAAAATTACGGTAGAAATGACAGAACTTGGTAAAGTTAAAAGAGTAGCAGTCCGATTTAGATTAATTTTTTAACTATAAGTGATAATAATAAAGTTTTTTATTAAAATTTCTGAATCATAAGGATTCCTTCAAAGTTGTCTAATTAATGATATTTTTTTCAAGAAATGACTACAAATATTTTATACAATTAGCAATTATTTGGTATAATTCATTTTTTTAAATTATAAATCATCCATCAAAGATCAAGTACATCAAAAGAGAGGGAAAACGTTCGTCAACATTGTATTCCAAGCAAAAAACCAAGTCAATTGCAAATAATCTGAAATTCTTTCAAACAGTTTTTATCAAACAAAACAGCCTAGATCAAAGCATTGAGAATAAAGCTATAAGAAAAAGGTCATATAGTGGTAGAGTGCAAAGGGGACGCTCACAGAACCATTGTTACGAAAGGAATTAAACTAGTACAAAATGGAAAATGTGTGACTATTAATGTTGAAGATTCAGATATTCTCGTGATATTGGTTCACATGAGGGATTAAACCATGTATAATATTTATTTTTTTAGCAAAAAAGTAACGAAAACAACCAGCATAAAGAATGTTACATTATTTCTATCATATCACGGGAAATAATGTTTGTTGTTTATCCATGCATGGAATGGGTGTGATACTATTGGGTTAGCAACTAAGTAATTGCTGATTTTTTTTAGAAAATAAGCAAAAACTTTTTCATAGAACGAAATAACTTTATTCTGTAATGTATTGCCCATTTTGAGCGATGGCTCTTTGCCATCTTTCAGACAGCATCATAATTCCACGTTCATAAAACTTCTGGTTATTATTAGAAAAAAACTGAACCAGGTACAATTCGACATCAACATCATCATTGAAATTTTTACCATTCAAGGAGTTTTGCAAATATTGAAATAAAAAGTAATCAGATGGTGCAAGGTCAGGACTATATGGTGGATGTGGCAAAACATCCTTACAAGACTCCAATAATTTTTGCTGAGTGACCAAAGATGTGTATGGCCTTGCATTTTCACGATGGAATACAACACCTTGTTGATTTTTCAATTAGAGCCGTTTTTCTTCAACTGCATTGTTCAATTTTGTTAGTTGTTCAATGTAGACATCTGAATTGATCGTTCGGTTGGGTGGTAAAAGTTCAAAGCTGACAATTCCTTTGTAATCCCACCAAACTGATGACATAACTTTCTTTTGATGAATATCAGCTGTTTGAGCTAGTTCACCTGGCTTGCTCCACGATTTTTTTCATTTGACATTGTTGTAAACCACCCATTTTTCATCACCAGTTATCAATTGTTTTAAAAATGGATCCTTTTTATTTCGTTTCTTTAACAAATCAAATGTATGTTAATGCTTTGTGTTAAATAATTTTTTTCAGTTCATTAAGAACCTATATATCATGTTTTCGTACATAGCAAAGTTTTAAGCGATTTTCAATGCATATATGTGAAACATGAAGCTTCTTTGCAATTTCACGTGTTGTACTGTGACGATCCGAATCAATTATTGCTTTGATTTGGTCGTCGTCAACTTCAACTGGACGACGTGAGCGTTTTTCATCTTTGAGTAAAAAATCACCAGAACTAAATTTGGCAAACCAGTTTTGACTCTGCCGCTTTTTTATAGCTTCGTCACCATAGACAACACATAACTTTTTGTGAGCTTGCGTTGCTTATTTTCCTTTCAGGAAATTAAAAAGTAAAATATGACGAAAATGTTCGTTTTGATTTTCCATTTTTCAACAGACGCCAAACAAAAACTACACAATCAATCAAAAAAATTTTTTTTACTGATTGACAGTAGAAGTACCAAATATCAAATAACAAAATGTGTTTAACATTTTGATTAGGTCAACATTCCTAAAAATTCAACTAAAGCCATCTATGAGTGAAATCCACAATTACTTAGTTAACAGCCCAATACCTCTGCCCTTTTTTTACAATGGAAGATAGCTGAAGATCACTAAACCAAATAGTGAGTTTGCTCAAAGTATATGTACAGTATTTCATGATCCCTTTGCAACACAAAATCGGGTAGCTAGTTTTGGAATACAAGTGGTTTTGAATATGTATGGCATGCAAGACATTGATCATAGTCCTTTTTTTATTACCAATATTGTTTATTTTATTATTATTTGCCAAACAAGTATTGCTGGTGCAACTTTGGAAAGAAAAATATATGAGAATGGTGGCAACTTCCAAAAAAGGAATTTTTTAGAAGTTGCCACCATTCTCAAAAAACGGTTACCAACCGAAAGCGCGATCAAGTACCATTCTTTTTGAGTGTACAAATACAGAAATGCTTTGGGTGTCAATATGGATAAAGTAAAGTGGGGTGGAAATGAAAAAGAGCGTCTTAATAACAGATTTCTTAAAGATACTCATTTTTTAATAAACAGCTTAAGCTTAACCCACCACTCAAAAAAATATTCTTAATTCATTTTTCAGGGTAAGTATTTTTTTATTCAAGAACATCCACCAATTCACATTCTCAACATCATAAGATGTATCTGCGACACAAATACTAAAACACCTTGTGGAAAAGAATGCCAATGTCGACGTTATGAAATAATTTGCATGACAGCCTGTGGACAGTGCCAAGGCAATGAGTACACAAATGTAATAAATAATAACAAATGTCAATATCAATGACAGCAAAATAATTTTTTTTAGGTCTTGGTCAACAACAAAAAAACAGATACGTTACCCCTCTGTGTTAAAATAATTTTTTCAATGTTTTAGGGGGTAACGTATCTCTTACCTTTGAGATCTATACATTGTACATATATACATATATGCATGCATACATAAATACATACATGCATACTTTTTTTTTTGTAGCCTAAGCATACATAGCCTTCTTACAGTGAATAAATTTTGGTATTCGTTTTAGGGAAACCCTTAGCAAAACGCAACCCTTATTTCTTTTGACGTTTTTTAAGAGAAGCCATTACTCATCCCCTGTGACAATATTCTGTAAAAATAGTGTTTGTTCGCTTCGCTGTAATAACTCGGTGAAAATTCAAATGCAATCTGCTTTGTTATTGTCGTGGGGGACCCATTCAACAATTTTCTACACTTTTCCAAGCTTTTTGAGGTAACAAACAATCGTGGATCGATTGACATTGAAGTCTTTAGCCAGCGGTCATGTTGTCAGGCTCTCGTTTTCTTCCACGGCTGCCAGAAAAGCCTGATCGTCAAACTTCGATGGCCAACCTCTTCCTGACTTATCCTCAAAGCTGGTATCGTCTGATTAAAAACGGGAAAACTACTCCCTAGACTGACTTTTGCTGATATATATATATTTTTTTTTTGTTAAAAAGTTTGTTCAGATTGCGAAATGACTGTGCTACTTTCCATCCTCTCTTGAAGTGGTAAAGCATAATATGGCAAATATGACTATGGTTTTAAACCCGCATTTTTTTAAAAAGTAGAGAAGGTTATTTTAATACAAAAATAATAAACAAAACACTACTTTTCACAGATAAAAAAAGGTGCTTATACAAACGCCGAAAATTGTGCACCAACCCAATACTTTTTCTTTTTTTGCTACTTTGATACCATATTTTCAACTTTTTCTTATTTCTAATGTATTTTTCTATAAGCAAAATAGGTTAAAAAAAAGGAAAGAAATTCAAAAAAAGACTAATAAGATAGACGAAAAATTTATTATACAATTGTGCAATCCTTTATTGAGGTTGTGTACTAATTTAGATTGCTTCTACGCCTGTCTATCCTCATGTGATTGAATATTTATTGTAACGAGTTTTTGATGATACTTTCAAAGGTTATAAAAAAAAGGCTCAAGCTTGTGTGGCTTTTACTTTTAAACTAATTTATTTCAATTATGATTCACTAATTAGCATGAGTTTTGTTTATCAACATTTAAAAGGAAGTATTCAATATACGGTTGTTCATCCGAATACTGAATAAAACTATTCTTTTAAATTCGGTGAACAAAGTTCAATGTATACACATTTTTTTTGCAAGAATTTAAGAACAGTTTAACAAAAATGTAAAAGTTATAATACTTTTATGAGGATTACAAATTTGGCTGTTGATTACTAACTTGGCTCATATCGAAAATATGACGTTTCTTCGACCAGATTTTCTTGAAACTTAAAAAACATTGCAAAAAAAAACATTTGTATAATATTTTTTGAAAGATAGAAAAAAAAAACTAAATACAGATACTAATAGCTTTATAAAGCATTTGTTTATTTTAAAATGT